TAAATATAATAATATAAAACTTTTACTTTAAGGAATAATTTAATAATATTAAAAATATATTTTGGCATTCAACATGAAGTACAAAGCCGAACAGCTACTCATCCACATTCTTTTCTGTTGCACTTTCATGAATCTGTTTAGATGTTCACGCCAACGTTGTTACCGCCTGCCCCAGAAGGTCCTTCTGTGCCTGATGGCTCACAGTCCGGAGAGGTAAGACAAATTGTTGCGGTCAACAGCTACTGTATCACGGCACCACTGAATCATGATGCTGAAAACCCTAACAGCCTGTGTGTGTGTGTGTGTGTGTGTGTGTGTGTAGTTTGCTTATTTGTATGAATGTAAGTTAATGTAACAGGGCGTACAAAAGAACATGAGAATGCATGCATGTCAACTTAAAGTCTTTCCCCATAATCATGCTAAATGTGCAGCCTTTGCAGAGGCTAAAATATCTGTTCCATTTGCTCTTATAATCTAATTCTCTCCATGTCTGTTTCTTAAAGAATCATCATTTTCTAACGCTGATTTATTTAAGTTCATTCTGAACTGGTGGATAGTGTAAATATCTAATCCAGTGCATGGGAATTTATTAATATGGGTTTGTCTTTTTGTTGTCTGCTGTTTGTTTCCCCCATGCTGTCTTTAGCTCTCACGTTCTAGCTCAATGAGTTCTTTATCACGCGAAGTGAGTCAGCATTTAAACCAGGTACCTCTAGCTGGGCCTCCAATGGTCCACACTCACCCCTGCCTGCCACCCATCCAGCTCACCACATCACTAGTAACACGCTTCACCATTTGCACCTGAAGCTTCACCGCCCATTCGACCAAGGATGTCTGTCTGCTCCCCTGCCTGCTGTCTCCAGCATTACTAACTTAACTCTGTATCATTGATGATCAATAACCAAAACCAGCGAATGGTCAACAAATTAAAACTAATGCAGTAACTGCAATAAACTTACTTTTTTATAGCCTTGCTAAAAGGATTAACCCTAGTGAGTCTGGGGATCACGTCGCTTTTAATCAAGCGTTTTCTACCAGGTCAAAATTTCAATTTGTCCAACACGTTGGTTTGGACCAGATACCTGCAAAACTAATGACATTCCCATCACCTGCAATTTCTGTTTATCGCTAATTAGAAAATGTTAGCATGATAAACTGAGATTATGAACATAATCTATCACTGCTGACCCTAAGTACAGTCTCATAGAGCCACAGGCAAGGCTGTAGACTCTGTTTTGTGTATACTACAGAAGTGAACCATCTACTTCTCTTGAAAGTTGCTGGGTAACTGAGCCATAGATCAGAGTAAGGCATGCTGGAGACTGTTGCAGGACGACTCGCTTGCTTTTTGTCATGAGACCTCACAGCTTCAATAACCCATAATAAAGCTTGCATAGTTATTAATAAAAAGTGAAACAGTGGTTTGTAATGCTGCCACTCTGTGGATCCAAGTACTCTTCGTCGTTACTTTTGCTTGTGTTCTGTTTTAAAATGTTGCCAAACCATTGTGTGCATCCCCCTCTCTGTCTCTGCCCATAGAGGTAATGGGACAGTAACACTGCACACACTGTAGTAACTCATCTTGTCCTTTGCAGAGTCATCCTGCCCCGGGACCTCCAACCGCTGGCGGTGTCACCTTTTATAACCCTGCACAGTTTGCACAGGTGAGGGTTTTAAAAAGAAAGTTTTAATAGATCTGCAGTTGTAAAATGCCACTCTCATTTGTCTTCCTTTTCACACACACCCCCCCCCCCCCTTTTCCAGACAAGTGCACCATCAGGAGGACACCGCGCTGGTCGTTTGGGTGGTCAGCGCCAGTACCCAGTGTTAAAGTAAACATCAATTTTGCAGAGAGATGGTGCAAACAGACTTGTTGGATAGAGTGATATCCTACCTGGAAGCACATGGACATACTGCTCTCTCATACTGACCCTTTCTATTTTTCCTCACACCTAAGAAGAGCGTAATCACAGTCTCCGTCATGTCAACCTTTTGTCCAACAGCTTAACCACTCGGTCATCTTTCTCTTTGGTTCTAGATTTGTCAATGGTGTAATTTTCACAGGCTCGGTGTTTCCTTTAAGGGCTTTTTCCTGCATCCAAACAGACAGTTGTAAAATGGGTTTTAACAAAGGCTTATCCATGGATGCATTCATACACAAAACTGTCTGTTCATGAAGGCATCATTTAGTGTACAATAAATATGTTGCTCCTCTAAGCTGTCCAGCTTCCCCTCAAACATAACACTGTCCTGTTTTAGTTTTCCCTTTGTGTCTAAAGTCCAAAAGTCCATGTTTGATTGACTGACTGATTGTATGTATGATGGATAGAAAGAAAGTGACAAAAAAAAAAAAAAAAAAAAATCATATTGTGGACTTATATATGCATTTGCTGCTCTCTAGAGTTCCTCTGTCAACTGGAGATTTGTGTGAGAATGAATCGTGTCAATAGTGCATTGTCTGCTGTGTTGCTTTAACCCAGTCGCCCTCCGGTAAAGGATGGATGTTGAAAGACACAAGAAAAGACCCGTAGCTGAAAGTGGAGAACATCTGTATTGTTAGGATGCTGCTTGTTTAATATTTATTTGCCCTCCCTGCCCATCAGCAACTCTCAACTTTAAAGATGTGTCAGGGTCTTTCGTCCAAGTTAGGCTTCGCTTTTTCCTCTGAGAAAGGTGACAATATCACTGAAATGAGGGGTGGTCTTCAGAGTAGCAGGAATTGGGATTAAACTGCATTTTAAATGTTACTAAAAATAAATCTATCCAAATATTTGTATATCAGATTGATTGTATTTATGAGCTGTAGTAATAAAGGTGTGTGTGTGGAAAGCAATTAATTATTAGGTTCATTAGCTTTGAAGAAATTGATTTATGATTCACCAGATATGACGTGGACTCTTGTATTTGCCGCTTCTGCAGACAAATATTTATGTAAATTGTGACATGAGAGCTAATTATACTCTAAATACTTTGTCATTTTCAGTTACTGATGATTTTAATTCAATCATTTATCACCCCAAATGTTTGATTTAATGATTTTGTAGATATCAGGTTATGATTTTAAAAGGTCCCCTTTTGTTTCAGAGAAGCAATTGTTTTTCTCAATGTTTTAGGATTCCTCATGTAAAATTCTTGACATAAAACCGTAAATACAAAAGGTGGAAACGAATTGGTAATAAAGTTATTTTTTGCGCTCTGTAGCACTTTGAAAGATGTCTGTTGGCCTCATTCATTACAGAAATTTGTTTTTTAAAATAAAGACTACCATTAAATTCAATATTAGAACAGTTTGGGAGTTGCAACAAAACCAGTGGAGCTGCAGATGAGAATGAAAATGGCTTCAAAATGATCAATAACAGTATTTAATATTAAAGGCATAATCAAAGCTGTTGTGTGTGGGAGAGGCAGAGGAAGGCAAATTTTACATGGTATTCTAGAGGAAATCCAAGCATGATGAATAAGGCCAGGTAGCGTGGAGCATTTGGATGGCTGAGGGGATTTACAGTTAATTTCTACTTAATATACTGTAAATGCAATCTAAGTGGTCACCATTTTTGTAACCGTTTCAAACCACTAAATAGTAGCCCTAGATTGTGGCTGATGTATTAGCATCGATTCATAGGGGTAACCATCCATTTATCTAAAAGATGATTAATCAGCAATGTTTGAAAAACCCAAAAGGTTGTTTGGGATGAAAAAAATGTTCTGTCTGGGGCAGGAGAAAAAATACTTTTAATCCGTTTCCCAAGTTGCAAGTCTTGTTTCTTATCCAGGTAGCCACTGGCTGCCATCTTCGTTTGGATAGAAAACAGCACAATTTGAGAAAAATTAGATTGCAGAGAATTTACCTTTTGGAGAAACTGATTCTATACCTGTGATTAAAATAAATGAGAGGCACAAACTAGCACTAGTTCGTTAACATTTAGAAACATCTGTTTACTCTGAAAAAATGTATCCACTATTCTGACACTTTACTTGATTTTAAAAGACTTCAGTTAGTGAACAATGGAATGGAAGAAAATTGAGGAAGAAACAAAAATGGAAAATGTAATAAAATTGAGGTGTGAAAAAATTAAATCTAGAAAGACATGACAAAAATCTGTTCATTTTCCTATACTTATGTGTATTGATATGTTACAGTACAACTGTCTTCTCACGAGCAGCTGTCGAGGGTTCCTGGAGATGATTTTGGGAGACTATACCAAAACTCCTCTGACTGTACTTAAGACACAGCAGTGCTTAGAGCTACATGCTAACATTGGCACGCTAACATACTCACAATGCTAATGCTAACATGCTAACATTAAGCATCTATCATGTTTAGCATGCTTACCCTCTTAGTTTAGCGTGTTAGCATGCAATTGCTAATTAGCTAGAACACAAAGTAACTTACAGCGGAGGCCGATAGGATTGTCAATAGTTTCATAGGTATTTATGTATTTAATATAACCAAAGTATCAGACAAACTGAAACTTCAACCTGATGATAGTGTTAGATAAAAATCATCAATGTTATTAGGGGTGGCACATAGATAAGACGCTTGCCTTTGGTGTGGGAGACGTGGGTTCGATTCCACCAATGGGAACACCATTGTGTCCCAATGGGAACACCATTGTGTCCCTGGGCAAGACACTTAACCCCTAATTGCTCCAGAGGTCCCACACCTCCATGACATGTATAGCAATTGTAAGTCGCTTTGGATAAAAGCGTCAGCTAAATGAAGCTAACATGTAATAATAAATAAATAATTGTCAAGGAATCCATCAAGTAGATGTTGAACGTCTGGACAAAATTTCATGGCAGTCCATCCAAATGTTGTTGGCTGTTCTGCTAGTGTGTGAATGTTAGATTCTGTTTGAGCACTTAGGCTTAGTGTATGAATGTGAGTCAATGGTGAATAGTCTAAAAATCACTTTGAGAGTTCAAAAAGACTAGAAAGGTGCTATACAAATATGGAGCATATTCCAGTCTGGACCAGTGATGGGCAGACAGGCCAAATGTGCTTCCTTAGTTTAGATATAATCTGCTGTATTTTGTGTTAGCAAAGGCATTACATCAACTTACAGTTACATCAATATGAGCAGTATGATCAATATTTCAGTACAGAAAATCAAATAAATTGTCATAGCATGACAACACCTAGATAAGCACTTCTTTTGTAGCCTTACATGTAAATCCTCTCTTACAGCCTGCTGTAAACTTTTTCATAAAGGAACAATGATTCTGATGTTTTGTACAATCACATACCAGTGAAGTGAGCACCCGTATTAGGAAGGGGCAATATTCATTTCAGTTAAGAAGAGGCTGACTTGACTCTCATTTACAGTAGATCAAACTTTGACTGTCCACAGTCCACTCAACAATCAGTATAAATCAAAGATAGCTGGTTATGTAATAGGTAACTTGTATTACCATGATCTCCTGTAGTGATGTATAAGCTCTTCCCAGCATTACGTTATCCAAGTTCATTAAAAGTCAGTATGTGTTAAAATATGTATAATGTGTTATTCTGTGCGTAAACTGTTGTTGTCCTCTTCTGTTCAAGTAGAAAGAGTTCATTTTTAAGTGTCCAGTGCTGCTTGTGCTTTCTGAACAGCACCCTCCAGCATTGTGTGGTCACTGAGCAGCTGTTGGAGAGCAGTTGGGTCCATCTCCAGTAGCATACCTGCACAAATAGAGATATATACTGTATATATTAGCCTTATGTTTAGACATTTAATCTTTATCTGCACCTTACAAAGCCTATATACAATAAGAAAAATTATAAACTTACAAAGATATTACATCTAGGAAGATTGAGGATATTTACAGGGAATGCTACTACAGACGGAGTATCAGGTCACCTGTAATATCATTTGCATGACGTGGATCTAGCTCCTCCACCAGTGAGAAGATCTTCTCTCCCAGCCTCTCCGTGTCATCAGTGTCCGACGAGTCACTGATGTCTGTCTCCTCCAGGTTCTGCCTGAAGGGAAGCATCATGAACATCATTTCAAACAAATGGTTTAACTGTAATTTATCAATGAATATTGGTGCTTCTTAAAATATTTTATTTTGTAGATTTAAATAGCAAGTGGCCTGTTAAGTATTGAATGTGTGCCCTTGTATGCAAATGTTTATTCAACAAGCAGTAACAAGTCACATACTCTTTAAGTGTCTTCAGGGCAAAGTTCACCTGCTCTTCCAGCTGTTTTGGATCTGAAAGAAGGTTTATAACTGCCTCTTTGCGCTGCTCCAGAAGCATTCCTGTTAAAAAACAGCAGATCATATTTTAATGTATGACACACTCGTTGTTCATACATTAATCTGCAGAATATAAATTATAACAAGACTAAGAGTCCACAGCCACATTAGCAGCTCTGTGAGGCTGTACTTAGGCACACTGCAATGCTTTGAGCTCAGTGCTAACTTTGGAATGGCAACATGCTGACAAAGACAATGCTAACGTGGTGATGTTTAGCAGGTGTAGTGTTTACCATGTTCACCATCTTTGTTTAAGGTGTTAGCATGCTAAGATTTGCTAAACATAAAAGTACAGCTCAGGCTGATGCTATTTGGTCCTCAAGCAAAGTATCGGACAAATAAAATAAATTTTAACCTGGTGATGGTGCTAGATGAAAAGAGAGATCAGTGAAGTGCTTACAAATATCCAGATGGGAACATGTCATGGCAATTCACTTCAGTTGAAGACATTTCACTCAAAACTATAAATCTCAACCTCACAGTGGTGCTAGAGGAAAAGTCAGAGGATCAGCAGGTCAGTAGGATTCATCCTCTGTTTTAATCAGTAAAGCGGAAAATCAAAACCAATTTTTTATTTTGCCATTTACCAAATCAAATGAGAAATTTGTTTTAGAAAAACAAACGTATGTTGTTATAGAAATCACTCTGAACTTAGCACAGCTGTTACAGTCTAACTGTAACCTTAGCTGCTCAAAAACATTAAGCGTGTGTAAGTTATTAGGTGTTTGTTGAGTCACCGGAGTGGTTGCCTACCTGTGATTTTCTGTGAGTGGCCAGTGTTATAAACATCCACCAGCTCAAACAGCTGCTCCCCCAGAGAGTCAGACGACATGGACACATCATCTTCGTCCTTACATCTTACCTTGCTGCAAAGAGTTGCAGTGACATGAGAATACACATGCCATTTTTAAGAATCTGACATACAGCATAAACATCTTGTTCCTAAAATAACACACTGACCTAAACTTGGCCGTAAATAGCTGATGTTACCTTCATGGGTAAAACTACCTTTCCTCAGACTGTTTAATGGAATAATAATCTCTGTTACATTTAATATGCCCTTCTGCACCTAAATACTCTGCTGGGATTGCATCAGCCTCAGAAATGAGGACCCACATACTGTTTAAGACCAGCCTGTTCAGGATGATGGAGGGAGATCAGGTCTGGCAACCCCCTTCCCATTGCTGTACCTGGGCTCCTGTGCCAGCTGTAGGGCTCTGAGGGCTTTCTCCACGGCTGCGGTCAGCGTGGCCTCGTCCTGCAGCATCTGACTCAGGACGGTACCTGGCAGCTCCAGCACATACCTGGAACACACAGGCAGGCGTGGAAACTTTGGTTTTAATAGGTCATATTTTTAATGTAAGAAAAAAAGTAACAATCTGCCCTGCAGGTCAACTCACCTGTGAGTTTTCCAGCAGTCTCTTTGTGTTTGGGGTAAATCAGATTGTACAGTTCTCACCAAGTGTCTCCAGATCTTCTTCTTCATCCATGTTTGACTACTTACATTAAGACACCGCATGCAGCTGCCATGTTACATCACATCGTAACTTTGTAATGAGCAGTTTTACAGAGGACTTAGACCGCTGACAGCTTTTTGGTTTATAGCTCCCAATCACATCAACATTCAGACAACTGCCACAAAACAGTTCACAACATCTGCGTCCAAAAAAATGCAAATTTTCTCTACAATTATATTTAATCTGTGCTTACCCTCCACATGCAACTACGTTATAATCTAAATTAGGAGGGCCGTTTTTAGGGTGAAAACAGCTGACATTTGGATATAGACATTTTTGACGGCTGTCTGTAAACACGAGGCGCGCATTAATGACGTCGGGCTTTCACAGGGAGCGGTGAGTACATGTTCCTCCGCTGTGCTTGCGGATAAGTAGTACTCCGTAAAAAAACATTCACGTAGGATATAGCGTCATGATACTAATGAAACAACTACAGTGCCGATAATAACGACTCAGCGTGTTTGTTTTAAATGTGCTAAAATGTCGGTTCGATAGTAAATTTTTTATTTAATGTAGTGAGTGGCGCGCAATGATCTGTGACAGAGGATCCGTAAAGAGGTTTCCGCTCTCTCCGGTCCTTTTCCTCCGCTAAAAGGTAACGTGGTCGCCTCGGCAGCTAATAGCCGGTTACTAAAGTTAATTTGTTTTGTGTCCCTACTTGTATTTAGTCTCTGAAATAAATATATTATTGTTGTGTTGCTTGTTGTGTACATCCCATGTGGCAGAAAATGTCTGTGTAGGCTGTAAAAATGTAAAGAATATTTGTGAGCACGTCGCCCACATTAGGCCTCGTCGTGCTCGATCCGTCTTTAGGGCAGAGCAGTGGAGCTAACTCAAGCAAACTGCCCTTCAACGTAACACCAGCTCTGTGTTTTATGGAGATAAAGCTCAAACGTTAAATACACAATGTATTTTGTGTTACAATACTCACAAACCGGCTCGTAATTTCCCCACTCAACCAGTAGCGCTTACGTTAGTTTTTATTAAGAAAATGGTAGCAAACAAATGACGCCTGTCAGTTGCAAGCACTTGGAAATTGCTTTCAGTTGGCTATAGATGTTATTTCAGTAACACTTTCTCCTGTTTGTACAGGTTCAACATGTCGTCCCATTTGCAGTGGATGATCATCAGGAACTGCTCCAGCTTCCTCATCAAGAGGAACGGACAGACCTACAGTACTGTGAGTAGCTCGAGGGGACGTTATATAGAGAACTTAACACTGTCTCTGCTCAGGCCACTTGCCTACCACACCAGACCTCTGTCCCAACTCAACATTACATTGCAAATTTAACCAGAGTTTAAGAATGTAGTGTAATTACACAGTAAAAGTCACAAAATTACTCGTCAAAAAGTCTTAGATTCAAAGACCGTTGTGAGTGTGCTGTTTATGCACAAGACAGTATGGGCCAACAGTCCATTATACAAAGGCAGTGGAGGAGGTGCATTTTGTGAAATGTAATTAATATTTCATCAATAGAAAAACATTTGTATTCTCTTTGAGTCTGAATTGGCAGTGGCATTCAAAAGTCACACTCATTGATTGTACTTTGATTTCTTGCATACCAACAGCAAAATCTATGTACTACTGCAATACAAACTGTAGAAACTTCTCCATGGACACTATAGCTAACAGAATATAACGTAATTGGCCTCGACATTGAAATTAATGCATAATTGTTAATCTTTAGGGTTATCTGAATTAAATATATTTATGTAACAGGAGCCCAACAACCTGAAGTCCAGGAACTCTTTCCGCTTCAATGGTTTGGTGCACAAGAAGACTGTAGGTGTGCAGCCAGCGGCTGACGGCAAGGGAGTCGTTGTTGTTCTGAAGAAGCGTGCAGGTAAATATTTGACACTATTTCTATCTTCAGCCACTTTGTGTCTGTAAAACAAGTGACTTATTGTCTGGAATAAAAACTTACTTTACCTGATGTTCACAGTAGGTCTTTAATTATTTGAATGATATTACTGTCTAAATGTGTATTGCACAAACTTTTTTTCTTTAAGGAAAAATGTACCTGTAATTGTAAAAAGGATTTTTTTTAGCTTTTCTAAGGGACAGTGGCTACTTTCTGTGATGTATTGATGCGTCCTTGAATCAAGCGTACTAACTTCCAATTGATTCAAAGTAGAGTTGCTCATGCCCTGAATTGCAGAAGGGTCAAGAAGCAGAACAAATTGACAGTTTTAGCAGGTTGCAGTCATTAGCAGGAATTTAAATGGTTGTCTGCACTGACTGGATTCATGGAATTAGCTAACATACCCTGAACTATAAGGATAAGAAACATGGGTGCAGGTGAGCACTGCAATTGAAAGAGATACAGCAGGTTTACGTAACTTAAGACCTTTTGCTGTCTCAGGTTATTTATTTATTTTTGGATCATTACAGCTATGTGGTCATATTGGAATTTCTTTTGTTTTCTCATCGCACAGGCCAGCACAAACCTGCAGGCTCGTATGAGAAGATCACTATCAACAAGAACTCCCGCGCCACCCTCAACAGCCTGAGGCACATCATTCGCAAGAACAAGTACAGGAAGGACCTGCGCATGGTGAGCGTAATCTCTGATTTTACACAACAAATTCTCAAATTTACTTACAACATTGGTTTGTATGATGGTTCTTTTTTATTAATACTTTGTATTTTAAAGCTGTCAGGAACACAACTTGAGTCTAATTTGTTTCCCCAGGCTGCCCTTCGTCGTGCCAGTGCCATTCTGAAGAGCCAGAAGCCTGTTGTGGTTAAAAAGAAGCGCACCAGGGCTACCAAGACGGCATAAACTGATACACATGATAAAAAAATAAAAGCTTTTTGTTTGGAAAAAACACCTCATAGTTCTGAGTCTTTAATTTCACCAGGATCCTGATTACATATCTGACAACACTCATTTGGTAGGTAATCAATCAAGTTATTCCCAAGTATTTGTAATTGCATAGAGAAGATGCTGAATTAGTACATTTTGTGGTCCATTTAAGAAAATGATCGATTCAATGGAACCTGAAGATTTTTCCTCCCTCAAGCTTGATTGGAACATTAGAACAGGTCTTAACTGCCTGATAAGCAGTACAACTTAATATAGAACATGTTGTATGGCAAGTGTCACTGATATAGTAGCAGTATACTATAATATTACTAATTTCAGAGCACCAAACATCCCAAAAGCTGAAGTAAGTAGTCCAGCTGTTGTGTACAATTCCTTGCAGTACAACATTTAAAGTGTAGCACGTTCTCAATCTCAAACGATGTAATCCATTGACCACATTTAGCAAGATCCTTGTAATACAGATGCACATTAAGACATACAATTACCTTATTTCTTTTGGTTTGTTTTCTTTTGGCTTTTTAGTAATCTGATTCTGTTTCAACACCGTTTTGGGGTGTTGAAATAAGCCATAAAGTGTTTTCTACAATATAAAAAATCACTGACCGTGACGGATAAAGGATGTTGATCACCATGTAAGTTACCATTGGCTATTAAGCCGTTTCTCTGTTATGCCATAACTTGCTATTATGCATATATCTTAAACTGTCAACAATAGGCCTAACTGAGACCCATGCGAGCTACCTTGTAACGTGATGAAAGTGAGGATTTATGTTGCACCCTGTAGCCTCACGTTATGTTTTGCCAGCCTTCAGCAATATCATTAATTGATTTTACTTCAGTCACAGATGCTGACATATTTAGTGACTGGTACCTCATCTGCCTTTTTGCTATCTTGGTAATGAAGTAATATTTTCCACTGTGTTAAGTCCATCTTTAAGACTGCCTGCATTACAACAACACGGGGCGCAGTGTCAAAGATGCGCTTTTTGTAGTCCATCTTCAGAACATTGTAGTTTCGTCACGGCAGTAACATCTGCCGTCGCTTAGAAAAGCGCACGTGGATTCTCTGAGCCCCGCGGTCCTCTTTTCCTAAGTCCTTATGGATTCTCCTTCACATCTTTCCTTGACCTCATGACGTTTTCCATCGAGGTCAAGGAAAGGAGGTTCTGGTGACTCTTAGGATGGAGCCCTCGCTTTAGTTCGTCCTGTTGACCTCAGCGCCCAGATGTCCCACTGATGATGTGCGTCCTGTAGCCTACTACATGTGACAGAAATGAGCTACAACTAATCAAACACCAGGAGTATTGATTATCTATGCACCCATTTGGCACAATACTTTGTTTTTGGACTGGATTTTATATTAATTCCTGAAGAACTGAACAATTTGTTTACACAGCATCTGTTCCAAGCATACCATTGTCATTTGAAGTAGATTATACTGAAGCAAACAGGGCCCATGTTGCTTTGGTCACTGTGAACACTGATGTGGAAACATTGGATAGATTTTAAAGCAGCCCACTGGCAGCTTTCCACCCATGGCTTTGGAAAGAAATACACTGTCACCTCCCCTTGAGTTAAAGCTGACAACGTACACTGCACCAATCATTTCTGCAGCGAAACGCATCTCATTTACACAGGATTTGGACTTACCCATGAGAGGGATTTTTGTTTTTGAAGATGTGACAGAAGCTGTGTGCTGTGGTCGCTATGAGGGGACTAAGGTCAGTCCTTTTCTTCATGCCCCTGGCTCTGCTGGTCCTGCAAAGTCGAAGCTTTGAACTACAGGATACAATTCATGCACTGATAGAGGAGAATATCCACCTTCATGACCAGCTGGAGAACCTCACCCAAGCCCTCAGGGAACTCAAACGGATGCTCTGGCATCACTCAAATGGTACTCTAAATCCTCTACCATTTAAATATACAGAACAAATACAGATAGTAACCA